TTTCCAGCAGCAATAAGAAAAAACTTATGCAACACTTTCTCATAGTTCCAGGCAAGCACTTTGCCGCGGTAGCAAATATAGATACCTACTTATTAAAAATAAGTGTTTCTACTGTAACGGGAAAAAAGTATTAGTGGCAGTAAAGAAGGTTACTGTTACAACCAAGGTACTTTTTGATAACTTAGTAAAGTGCGTTCTACTTCTATTCAGAATAGGATCGTTTCGAGACACAACGAGAAATATTACAAAATTATCGCGCCACCTGTAACCACCAATTAACCTCAAAAAATGACAACGATAATGCATTGCAATGGATGTCTGCAGACGATCGCAGAGGGTGTGCGCTGGTTTAATAGGAAACGCGACGTCAGATACAATTTAACAAGTCCTATGTGATTAGCGCTTCATGTAGCGTTAAACAATGTGCGCTGGCCTAATAGGAAACGCGATGCCAGATATAATTTTACAATTCCTAAAGGATTAGCGTTCTATGTAGTGGTAACCAAATGGGAAACGGAAAAATGCGTCCCGTTTTGATGGAACTTTTGATTAGGGCGTGTTCAGAGAGAAATGGAACTCTTGACTAGGGCGTGCTCGGGCGCCCTCCAGCCCAGCGTCTAAATGCATGCTGAATTAGTATTAAAATACTATCCATTCTAAATTGTAATATTTGTAAAATAGTATACCTACTATTCAATTGCCTACCTACACGGAAACTTTTTTTCACTTGCCATTTGGCTAAAAAAAATTATTTATTTTTTACACTTTGGCCTATTTTGGCGCCCCTATGCCAGCTGCGCCCTGTGGGGGAGGCTCCACCGTCTCCCCCCCTGTTGGCTACGCCCCTGACTCCATGTAGCACATCACTGCGCCACAAGCTTACCTATTCGTGCTACATTGAACATCCATGACAATGTCCAAGCGTTTTATCTTCTACCTATGAAATTAATTTTCTTAAAAAGGAGTAATTTTTCAGGATTGGTGCAATGGTAACTTTTAATCAGGAAGGCGTGATCTACATTATACACAAAATTCAGTCAATTCTGACATAAACACAATTTCCGTATACTTTGGGCAGGGTCCTTTAATTTTTTAACTAGAGTGCGATGATCATCCTGAAATGACTCTACATATTTTACCTAATTTCAGAAAAATACAAACTGAATTTTATGTTTGTAAACTTTTTTGATAGAGGGCTGTAAACTTGATTATTTGATTATTTTTGCCCTAGCCAAAGACAATACTACTGCGTAGTAGTATTGTCTTTGCCCTAGCTCAAAAACTAGAATAGGAACATATCACTTTCATAACATTACTGAATGCAGTATTTTGAAGCGAATCCAACGATATAATACACTACGACAGTTTTCTTGATTTTCGTTCAAATATTTTTGTTTTATTATGTAAGTAGGTTATTATTTTTTTTCTACTTAAAATTTAATTTGAAAACGAACTTTGGACAAAGTTCGATTTAAAAGTGGTACATTAGGACATAAAAGGATCTGTAGAATCCAAAAAACAACAAATATACAGGGTGTGCCATTTGAAAATCGAAAGTTTCGGTAATTTCCGGTGAAACCGGAAGTCAGAAAAATGAATGCACAAAAATGGCATTTCGTTAGAATATCAAGCCTACCAAGGTACCAAGTTTCCTTGATATCAATGAACAAATAAAAAAATGGCAGCCGGAAAGTAATCTCGTGGGCACCCGGTATACACCACAATAAAATGGTGGTAGCCGAAAGATTCAACATGTAATGGAACGTGCAAGATGCTTAATATTTGAATCGAAAATGGACAAAAGTTTTTGGCAACAACAGTGCTGAAAAATTAAGTTATTTTAGCTGAAATTTGGTATGGTTATAAGCCTAATTTGAATAAAATTAAACTAATTGGATGTAGAGCGTATGTTGTATGTTCATGTACCAAAAGTAAAATAGCCAGTCAGTAAGTTATATGAGAGATCAAAATTATCGTTTATAATGGGATATACAGACAATGAATATCGGCTTTGGGAGGGACAAAGAAAATCAGTGTGGTTTCCAGCAGAAATATAAAATTTAACGAGAATCAAAAGGATAACATAGATCAGAACACTGGAAGACAGAATAAAGAATTCCAAGAAGTGGCAGATTTAGAAATCAATAATGATGAGGAAATACAAAGTACAAGAAAAGAAAACTACCATGAAAAAATTAATCAGAAAATTAAACTAAAATTGATAATAATGTAACACGAAGACGATCAATACGAGAAAGAAAAACTCTAACACTAACTAACAAAAACTGAGCACTTAGGAAAACATAAAATTATTCCAAAACAAAATAATGTTGAAATTATAGACTCAAAATGGACTTTCACAGAAAAAGAAAGAGATGGAAAAGTGATAAAGAATAAGGCAAGACTTGTAGCAAGGTTTTATGCAATCAGATTTGCAAGAAGAAATATATTCAGCAGTCACCATCAAAATTCTTTTATCACTTATTGTGTTCAAAAAAACTTAAAAATCTACCAACTTGATTTTAAGTGCGCATTTCTCAATATGTTGTATTGAAACAACCGGTTTACATGGAAGTGCCAAAAGGTCTAAAAGAAATTCCAGAAGGAAGTGTGTGCTTGTTAAACAAATCTTTATCTGGTTTAAGACTATTCACCTAAATGTTGGTATGATAAACTTCATCAACATTTGATAATTATCGGTTTGGTAAGATCTTTGGCAGATATATGTAGTTTTTGTTTTAGGAAAAAGAACTACATAGTAATCGTTACTAAGTAATTGTTGATTGTTTATAATAGAAACGCTTTTACTGTTCTTGGAAATTTGCCTGTTTATTTTTAATGCTGGAAGCTAGAGGACACCAAACTGGTTAATCCTTAGTTCATTTTTGGTTCTTGGGTCTGTGTGGAAGAAGGTAGATAGTCAAAAGACTACAATCATAGGATTGAAGCGGAGCAAAAGAAAACGCAATCAGGACGTCACTCTTCAGGAAATTCAGTTAATAAGTAGAAGACTAAAATGTCAAGACACAGTACGTATCTGACAGAATGATGTAACAGATGTCAAAAAAAGCCGGATGGCTTTAACTAAGATTACTAAATCCAGCTTTAGATTAGACCACTTTTCTTCCCGAAGGGCTGGAAGCTTGAGGTCGGAGTAAAGAAATAAAAGTTTCCACAAAGTTATCGTTTCATCAGCAGTTTTGCCCTTTTGAGGAAAGTAACATAAAAAGCCTTCAATTTCAGGATTATACAGAGGACTGATGACCTGGAGTTGAGAGGAGAGTCCACTGGAAGCTGCGAAAGAAGAAATTTTGATTGTTATCAACTCAAGAGCTGCTAATGAGCAATCGAAATTTTGATTATTATCGGCTCTTGAGCTTTGAATGCCCTTAGAAAAATTCTCTTGCAAATCCAGAGTTGATAAAAGTTCAAATTTTGACTATTATTATCGGCTCTTGATCGGCTCTAGGAAGGTTTTCTAAAGAATCAAGAGCCGGTAATAGTTCAAATTTTGATTATCCTTGGCTCTTGATCCATTGAACAATTTTTCTTGAGCCAATTAGAAGCTGCGGAAGAAGAAATATTGATTCATATCAACTTAAGAGCTGATGATATCATTCGAAACTTTGATCATTATCGGCTCTTGAGCTTTGAATGCCCTTAGAAAATTTCTCTAGCGAATCAAGAGTTGATAAAAGTTCAAATTTTTACTATGACCGGCCCTTGATTGGCTCTGAGAAGAAAGAATCTAGAGCCAGTAATAGTTCAAATTTTGATTATCTGTGGCTCTTGATCCTTTGGAAAAGTTTTCTTGGGCCAATTAGAAGCTGCGAAAGCAGAAATTTCGATTGATATCAACTTAAGAGCTGCTATGATCCTTCGAAATTTTGAATATTGTTACTTATACGGGTTCGCAGATAAGTGAGACTACTTTTTCGAACTTTAACGAATTTTATTAAATAAACACAATAACATAAAAATCACACGAAATTTAACACTACTTTAGGCCGGAGTCTCATGCATCCGTTTTCCGACGAAAGATTTCCGAAAAACCTTCTATTTTGACATATTTTTATACGATTATGTCAGAATAGAAGGTTATTCGGACATCTTTCGTCGAAAAACGGATGCATGAGACTCCGGCTTTACGCTCCGAACTACTCCAAATAAAGCTTTTACGGCACGATTATTTTCGAACGTGGTTATTTAGTTCCTGACTTTACACTGCATATATCTTCAGTTTACTGCACTTGTCGTACGTCAATCAGAACTGCTCCTTACGCGGTGCGCACCGCAGCTTTTATAGTTATGTGCGTCCTTCTCTAACACGCTCGAATTTTCGTGATTTAGTTCATCTTGAAAATAGTCGAATTTTCTGGCTTCTTCAACTGTAATTACAGGGGGCAATCAAAAAGTACGAGTGGCAGGTTTATAACAATATTATCGGCTCTTGAGCTTTGAACGCCCTTAATAAAAATTCTCTTGCGAATCCAAAGTTAATAACAGGTTCAAATTTTGACTGTTACTGGCTCTTGATTAGCTCCAGGAAAATTTTCCAAAGAATCAAGAGCCGGTATTCTGAGAAGTAACCCAAAATGGGTTAGAAATAAACTCCAGGAAGAAATACATCCAACTCCGGAATGGTGAATTATCTGGAAGATCAAGATCAGCCCAACGAAGAGCCATAAGCCATATTTTTTTAGAAGACTAGGTTGACATCACTGCTCAATTTGACATCAAGGTAGAAAACATTTTGTAGTTTTGAGAAGTCATGTGTCTAGGACTGATCATGGTTGCGAAGCTGACGTGGAGATCCCACATTGGAACAGCTCGAAACAAGAGAAGATGACATTAAGCCATGGGTTGTTTCTATCTTTTGAGGAATCGGATGAGTAGGTACCATGCACTCCAAAAAAGGTGAAAATGAAACTGAAGAACTAGAAACTCAGTCATTCTATGCCTAATTTAAAAGATTATTGGGATTTTAAGCAATAACTTACCAAAACTTGAAGGCTCTGTTCGTCCCAAACGGTCTCTAGTTCCTTTTCAGTTACTGGACGTAGGAAGACTCTTGTAGTAGTTGTCGGTTTTCCTCCTTCCTGCAAAAAAAAAATAATAATCAGTTAAATTTTTCGCCTCTACACATCTAAAAATAGCTACATTAGGTTGTTAATTATCCAAATTTTTCACAGTAATTAGTCTCAAATACCATCTATTTATTAAAGTGTGTCAACCTTACACACTGTAGGATTTGTAGGATTGGTTTCGTCAATAACATACATCTGTTTGTACGAAAATAAATGCGAAAAAACAATGGAATAACTTTGAACCGTACTCAAAAACTATGCCAGAAAAAATGGATTTCAACGAAAAATGTTTCAAATAAAAATGACAGATCCTTTAATTTTCTATATTTATAAATTGACTAGGTTTCAGGGATAACAATTCGAAGTGTAACCTCGGTAACTTGTACCTAATTCCAAGTATTTTTCCTATTTTCAGTTATAATTTCAGTAATTCTCAATTAATCTCACTAATTCCAGAGACCAGAATTGATTATAATTTCAAAGAAATTTCAAGGATTTCTAGCTCCATACTACTATGGTAAGACGTCCGCTCTAACTTAAGGTAGGTACCCGAAAAGGGTTTTCCGTTAGGTTTTGGTAAAGGTAAATGGTGTCATAAATGTTGTTGCCAGATTATGTATGAGACACTATCACTGATCAGCAGTTTCATTATTAATTTTTCTCTGTTTTGAATCAAAATTTCCCTTTCCAAACTCAAAACACATTATTCCCTCTCCAGACTCCATTCGATCCAGGCGAGAAAACGAGAGTAAAAGGAATCGCGGCGTGCGTGGCCAAAATAGGCGACGGGACCGACCGAAACTTTTTCCGAGTCGCTCATGCGCATTCTTTCCGAAAAATCGGCCAAGTGTCCTTGTCCTTCGGTTTATAAAAAGTTTTTTTTCTGGATTCGCTCGGAGAGAGAGAGAGAGCTTTTCTGAAATTTTGATTTATGTATTTTGGCGCAAATTGCCTAGGTCTAGGTGTATACGACTTGATTTATGAGGGACTCTATAGTATTTTTTGGACTTTATCTCATTGTCAAATAATAAAATATCCTGTGATGTACCTAGATCATATGATAAAAGTTGGTAGATATGTCAGAGTTGGGTGAGAAGTTTCACCTTTATGGTCGAAGTTAATTGATAAATGGGAATTATTGGAGGTTTACCTTACCAAGAATATGAAACAAAGGAAACTGGTTTAGCTTACCAACTCTCCTCTCAGGAAATTGACCAGTTGACCAGCAGTTTCCTGAAGAGAGAGTTGGTAAGTAACCTGCTGTTTGTTGTTGACCTTGATTCCAATATTTTCCACTAGTGGATGTTTTTGTTGTTTACCTTAGAACCACTTTCTCGGGTGATTTCAGTAATTCGAATGCACTTTCGAGAGTTGACGCGAGTTTACTACAGAAAGACCATTGATGGAACTGGAACTCAGAATTATTACAATGAAGCTGGGAACAAATCAAAGAGGAAGAGGCTCAATCGGTATTTATATCTAAATATAGATGATAACGGACTACAGAAGAAGAAAAATCTTGTCTATATAGTGATTTTATATTGAGTTCGATCAAGATTCTCATAGTTTGAGGAAGTTGTATGAAGGTTGGAAAAAATCGAACGTCATTTTCGTAAAGATTCGTGTAAGCATCTCATAAATTTGGAATAATAAGCTATAATAGGCCTGTAGTTTTCTGAATCCTCAGAATCCCATCACTTGTATGCTACAAATTTTCGTGTAGATTCCATAAATATGTTTTGTTCCGGAATAATAAAAACAAATCACTTTTTTAGTGTTTTGATTCTAGAGCGCATAAAGGTGTATTTGATCGGATTTATACCAAACTACAAGGGAATTTCCAGTGATAAATAAAGAAATTCTCATAATAAAGCAATCAATTTAAACCTCGAACATTATAAAGTTAATAAACACGTTTTGCTTTTGATGCCGTTCATTGTTTATACTGAATCTTATGCAAGGAGTGCATTATTTTCGTACCGCTAAGATGATTTAAACACCCAAACATCCAGGCCGATGTGCCAGGAAAAAAAAAGCGTTTGAAATTTTTCACACATTTTCTCACCTTGTATACAGTTCGATTACATAGATACAGGTGAGAAAATCGAAACCCGAAAATAAAATCCATTACGCCTACAAAAAAAATTCGAATATTGTGAATAGTTGCTTGGAATTTTTATTTTAAAGCTCAAATGTTGGATCTTTGTCAAATATGATTGTGAAAAAACTACATTTATATCAAATCCTTCACGGGCCTATTCCAAAACTACATAGGTACGCAAAATGTAATAGGTACATTTTAAACGCTATTGATGTTTACGAGTATCCGGTCACTAAATCCTGATTTTCCAGGGTAAACTTTGGAAAAGAGCTTTGTTTATTTTTCCGTTTTATTTTTTTCTTTTACTTATTAGTTCTGGCGCCATTCCAAAAACGTTTTGAAATTTATATGAAAACCGACTTGCACGCGACCCTGAAAATATTTCCACCGGTCGTCGAAAACCAAAACATATTATAACGTATTAAGTACCTATTTTTGTATCCAAATATGGTGAAAGTTATTAAAAATGTGTTAATTTCTAGTTCACTTTATTGATGTTTCAATGTGTGTTGGTGTTTTATGATCACTGATTTCACTGAAATTAAAGAATCTTCGATTTTGTTTGGTGTTTCATTTATTCCTGGCTGTAATAATGTAGGTATGGCTATTGGCTTCTGATTGATTTAAAGCCACACTCAACTACAGGAATTGTGATTTGACAGATTTTGATGGTATCTCAGAGCTTGGTCCAATTTTGGAGTGGAAATAAGCTCAGAACAAGTCATAGAAGTAAAATGCTGCGACAGTATAAAAGTGTAACTTACATAGCTCAGGTATTCTATCTATTTATCTCTGACGTTGAACATCTTTACTTAAAGTTAAGGAATGTTTCACGAACAAACAACCAAGGACTTGCATTTAACACATCGATGCTAAAAGTACCTGAAGTTTGAAATGGCTCTAACTCCAATGAGGGAGCTTCAGACTATGCTAGAAGGTTTATATTTCTAAAGGAAAGGCCGATGAACTTATGTCTAGATAGATGAAAGAAGAATACACGGGTCGGAAATGACCCTGTGGCAAAACTATCACTTAGCCAACGCCTCGTTTTGACAATTATTTATTTGAGATGTGGCAGCACTGGTCTCAAGTGCAGTGACCATTAAAAAAAGTAAAACAAGTGAGTTGTATGTCATGTACAGGGTGTTCCAACGTCTACTGAACAGGGGCTTATTTTTTACCTTGACTGTATTTTTGAAAAAGATCAAATTAGCCAATTGGATTTTTTTTCTGGAGAATTCAAAAATCATTTGAACCAAAGAGTTACCTACGCCATGGATTTTGTGTATGATTTTTGGAAAAGTCGCATCTTTTTACGTCTGTACTCTTTTTGTAGGTTCTACTGATATTTATGAACAATTGGTTTATGATATTTTCAATAAAATATAGTTTGATTGACTTGTTTACTTGTTTGGCTTATTTGTTTATCAATGTTATTGAAAAAAAAAAAAATTCTTAAATGTCACGAATGTGAGGTATGATATTTTTGAAGGTAGGTACCAATGCATACATACACACATCGCAAAAATTCTTGGACGCCCTTAGATATTTTTTACATAAATATTTTGTTTACGATTTATTCGGAATTTGAAGTATGTTAAATTTGCATTCAAAGGGCCAAAAAAAATGTTTTTATTTGTTACTCATTTGTAAAACGTCACTTATCAAGTCAAAACATAAACAACGAAAATTGATTTTTATAAGCTGCTGGCTTGTAAAATTGATAATTAAAGTGAATAACTTGTTACAGGTCAGAAGAATTATTTATTTTTAAAAAAATCAGTTTTATCGGTCCAAATGTTGGTCCTTCGAGCCGGATGCTGTGAATTTTGGGTTTTGGAGTGGTTTACTACTGAATAAAGATTATGCAAATGCGTTAGTGGACTCAGGCATTTGCTGTTGAGCTGAGAATGATTGGGATCAGCGTTTTATACTAAGATGGGGAAGAGAAAGAAATGTGAAGCAATTACCACTTATATATGGCATGGAGATTTATACCAAATGTCAGAAACGCATAGGAAAGGACAGAGCTAATATCTAGGTAATCAAACCAGAGCAATGGATAGAACACTACAAGAGTCTTGTTGCGGAAATAACCCACAACAGGTTCAATTTTTATTATTTCTAATTTATTATATCTCAATTTCTATTAATTACCATAAAAATGGATTTCTAAAAATAGATGCTATTGCTGGACTATTTATCTTGTAAAACCGACAACAACAACCCTTTGAACCGGTAAAATTACAGGTTTCTTCATTACCTTATAAGGCAGTGAACATCCCTAGTTTTTTACGACCTGCTCCCTGGAAGAGCTAGTCGACGCACATTCTTCAGTACTAATAGAACAAGCGAAGAGTTCGCACCCTCGCGCCCTCTGAATGCTCTCCAGGAGCAAAACCCCCAAAAACCCCCGTTAGTACGCGCGATTTATAGTAAAATACTACTCTCTGTGTCTCAAGGCCTGACATGGTCTATATTATTGATTACAATTCATGTAATTAACCCCTCATTGTTGCAAGTCACCTCGGACGACCAAAATTCTCTCCTACTCTGTTTTTGGCTCTATCTCTCTCACTCTCGACGGGATCCAACGCACCTGTATATCATTGTGTTTTCTTTTCATCTCAGTGGAAAATTCCCTAGCTGCCAGTGTGAATAGTTGTGATAAATGGATGAATAATCGCGTTGTGGATTTATCTGCATGAACCGGATTAAGCAAGTAAGACCGTTACAATTTCTCTAACAGTCGAACAAAAAGTTAATAAATACTGATTAGTGATTCGCTTGAAATGCACTATAAATTGAAGTGTTTTTTAACGTTTAATGCAGAGATTTGGTTTTCACACTCGTGAAATTAACATTTGTACATTTGTATATAGAAACTGAGCACATAAAAAGATTTTTCTTG